AAATTACAAGAAAACGATAAAGAGATAAGCAATGAAACATAAAAATGTGTTTATCACAGTTCTATGGGTATATAAAAACGAGAGAAGCCATGTTCATTTTTCCTTTTTGTTTGTGTCTCAGTCAAGGATGAGGGTACGCATCCCACTTCAGGGATCTGGAAAGAGCCCTCAGAAGGGTCCCTGGTGTGGCAGTGACGGGATTCTGGGGAAGACAGGGTGAGCTGCTCTTTGTTTGCTATGACGGCCCAGTTCAGAAAGAAAAGACAAAAAAGACAGAATAAGGAAAATGTCAAAAATAACCAAAACAATGTTCATGGCAAATTGCAACACTGTTAAAAAATATATATTCATTTTGAAATGACATTTTTGAGTTTATGTTTAAAATCCTCTCTTTTTTAGATTTCTTAGATGTATTTGTACTTGCTTATCTGCTTATAATGTAAAACCACAGAGGATACTTTTAGTTTACTGGTCACAGCAGAAAAACATACAACATGTCATATGTGCTTTTTCTAGTTGGATTTTGTGTTGTTTTGTTGACTACTTTCTCAAATGAGGAGACAGAAATGATTAAAACCAACAAATCAACACAACAGCCAGTAGTGGGGCAAGCTTTTTGATACAGGAACATTAACCACAAGTTATATCTCTACAATCTGCACCATTATGCATAGTTGTGCACCCATCGTGCAAAACAACACCACTACCTTTTGACTGCATGGCCTATTTGAACACCATAAATCATTTTATTTTATTTTTATCAATAACTTTGAATCCTTGATTAAAAGTCAGACAGTATCAGTGACTGTGCAATGGCTCAGTCAGTTTACTTCCTCTAATAGTGCAGGATATTCAAATGCACAGTGGTGTGAAGGAGTGAATATAAACAGAGTCACATTGTGTAGTTTCACTTCACACATATCAGTCTCAATCGGCTGCAGACTCTCCACAAGAGGGAGCTGTTCTGCTTGACGCACACAAATTGTACATTATTGTGTGATATTAACATTAAATGAAAATCAACAGCTCATAAAATCAAATGCTAACTGTGCAAAATATTACTCTGAACATTTCAAGCTCTTGGTTTAAGACATTCAAACAAAAAATACTCATATACAAGCTATTTTCATGTGGAGTTTCTTCAACACCCCATGATACTGCTTCATATTGAACTGATGTTGATGTGTTTTAATTATCACCCCCCACAGGCAGCTTTGAGGTGTCACTGAACGGGCAGATGATCTACTCCAAACTGGCAAAAAAGTCATTTCCTGATAATAAAGTGGTCAGTGAGTTACATATCTACATTTATAAGGGACATTTTTTTTTCAACACAGCAAAAAAATAACAATAATCTTATTTTTACTGGACTGATGGTAAATAGTTTATAAAAATGCCCATTTAGACTGATTCTTCAACAGTAACACCAGCTGATGACATTTTAATAAGTGATCAGGCGAATGTGAAAGAATCCAGATTTTTTGTGAGTTGTGTCTCATCATAAGATTTGCATCTCGTGTAACAATGAGATTCTTTTTTATCAAAACCCTGAAGACAAAGGACAAAACTTTCCACGAGACATTATCATAACTGACTGTTGCGGCATGCAATGCAGCATAAGTTAACACATGGCCCCTCATCTATCCATTCATCACTCAATTGTAAAAGTTATTCATTGGATTTCTTAAATTCAATATCAAAAGAAAATGAATTCAAATAAAACTATATTGAATTGTTTTATGTTGTTTTAATAAACCCTTCTTTAATAGGAACCATTTAATAATGGGATGATATTTCACCCCTAAGTTATTTTTAGAATTCATTCTACTGCTCATTCAAATAAAAGTTAAATAATGTACTTCAGTCAATTTATGAATATATTAACAAATTAAATGGTTTCATTTTAGACTTAATGAAATGATTTATTACTATTTCCGTGACACTCAATACATTTTACCTCATGGGACATGAATGAGAAAAGAGGATGAAAGTATAACTGAGAATTAAATTAAATCAAATTTATTTAATCAAGACTACAGCTTCACTTGCAGCTCAGTGAGAGGGATCATTCAAATCATTGTTATTTATTCTTTTGGCAACATGTTTGTACAAATGTTTGTGTGTCCAAAAACTGAAAAACAACTGTTTATCAAATTATTAAGTTGATATTTGTGTTTTGTGACCAGATTGTAAAGATGGTGACGGAGATGGTCGGTAAAAATATGAAGTAAAAGCATCGGAGCAACTACAGCTCTGAAGAGGATGGAGGATCAAATAAGATCTGTATTCACACTAAGGGTACGACATGATTTGTCTTCTGTGGTTCAGAACCAGAAGTTTAAATGTGGACCATGACCAACCAAGAAGATGAGCCCATGTGGTATCTTTATTGTGAATACAGACAAAGGCGAGGAGACGATGGGAGCCACACTGAGGAGCCGGCACTGACTTCTGTTTATGAATGTATACACTGGAAAACATGTGGTGTGTACACGATGCAAGTCCAGAAGTTTTTCGCCCGGAGCCTGAGGATGTGCTCTCATCCTGTCTGTCTGTACTCCCATGCAACATTTCTTTAGCTGTCTCAATCCAATCCACTTATTCCATCATCTGTTTTCTTCTGTTTATAGAAATCTAAAGGTCTCTGTGCTGTGATAGGACACGATTAAAAGAATAGTTTGATATTTTTAGAAAAAAACTAGTTTGCCTTCTCGCCACAAGATGAGCAGATTGATACCACTGTCATTCCTTCGACATAAAGCCACTGGTAACATCCAGTTATCTGAAGCTCACAAATTAACTAGCAATTTGCAGTGTCAGAGGGTTCATTTGTTGACCCAGATCACTTAATATAAAATTAAATGAATGTAAAATGGCTCATAGTTTTACATTTAGGTTTTTGGATGGACTGAACAAACAGGATATCACAGGTTTTTTTAGCTAAACAGTCTCTGGCTCTAGCATTGTATTTATGTCACATGACAGAGGTATCTTCTCATCTTGCTAACTCTTGGCAGGGCAGAGGAAATATTCAACTTTATTTTGTGTTATGTTGCAAACAGAAAATGCACCTCAAACTTCTGATTCTTCTTAAATATTGGGCCTTTTCTAGATCATCTTGGATGAGCTACTACTACTGAGCATTTTCTACCTTCTCCATCACTGATTAATAGTCATTTAATGACAAATGGGATGCTGGAGGTCCGGCGGCGTTGGAGCTGCTGAGAGAAAGTCTAGGCCGTACAATGCCGTCATATAATATACAAATATTTGGCAACAGTTTTAAAACATTTTACTCAACAAAAAGCAGCAAATGTCCTCTGTGCAATAGATGGGCTGCAGCAAAAAGACACCACGTGTTCTAAAATTAAATATAATACTGACTAAGTCAAAATAAAAAAAGAATAGGCCTTTTGCTTTCAAAATTTTACTTTAGTTTAAAAAAATAAATGTTTTAGTCAACTTTGGTTTGTTTTGTTGTTGCCGGTGATGCTGCTGCAGTCCCCCCAACAACCCGACTTCCAGCATCCTTGAAATATTTCACATATCAAACTGTTTCTAAACAAGAAATCACCAACTCCAATAACAATTCAGTCCATTTTCGACGAATGCAATAAAAAACTATGGATTCATTTGTGTTCTGCTCTTTTTTTTTACATAGTTTATAAAGCACTGCTTATTTGATAATAATCTTTCTTATTAGATCACAGTTTCATTTGGTCAAATGTTAGCAACTATTGGGCTGAAAAACCCATCACAGATCCCTGATCATCATCATCATCATCATCATCATCATCATCATCATCAGCAGCAGCAGATTAGGCCCTGAGTATTGAGTTTTACAGCAGTCACATGAGCCACCATCCATCCATGTAATCTCGGCACTATATAATCCATGAGATGAACAGATGATGATAATAACAGGGGATTTGTCTGCTGTTTGTGATGCTCTGTTCAGGTTCCACTGGTGGAGCAAAAACACTATTAACAGGAAACACACAGACCCACATCAGAAGCTGTCATGGTTCTCTCGTTTCACAAACAGCACCAACCACATTGTATGTTGTGACAGAGACGAAGAAATACCAGACTGAGGAGTGTGTGTTAATACTGTGAGAAAGTTTCACTACATGAAGAAAATGTTCAATCAAAATGTTAATTCATTTATAATTTAATCAATTACACATAAAATAATGACCTTTAGGCTTTTAATGAAAACCTGAACTGTGTGTGTGTGTATCTGTGCTTATATATTGTGTAAAAAGATATAATTTAACAGCATACATTTATTTTTTTAATATGCACTTTAAATTGTCTCAGTCAAAATGTTGATTCAATTTAATCATCTCAAACTTACATTTTTGCACATTTTTGTTTGAGGAGTAAAGGTGTTATATCATCCATCTTCACTTATCCACCATCAAAATATCCTTTTAAAATATAATTAGCATCTTTTCAAAAGCATTTAACCAATTTGAGATCTTTGAATTACTTTTAATGACTCGTAAAGAAGCTATTTCAATGCCAACATGCTTCTGTAGGTCTTCAGACTCACTCCAATAAAATGAAAACCTCATCTACCTTTTGTTCTCACGAGTTTCTCCTTAATGGTAAATGGATATGTCTGTTCTCTAGTCTTATCAACCACTCAAAGCATTTTGCAGTTTAAGCCATTCACACACTACAACATGCTGAGCTTCTTCTATCAGACGCTGTCAGCACAGCCATCCTCCACAGACCTGCGGACCCGAGGAGCTGGGCTGTGAACCACCAACCTTCTGAACAGTGGACGACCTGCTGTATCTGAGCCACAGCTGGTGTTTTGTGAATATGGCCCTTGTTGTGTAACTGGAGCACTGTGATGGTCGGAGCAGCACGGTCAGACAGCAGAGCATATTTTATTTATGACAATTTGTCTGCATGTGAGCGGAGGAATAATTCATCTCCTCTCCACTCTCCTGTGAAGACATTTAAGTTGTGATGGTAATATCATGGTGCTGCACTGAAACAGAAGAGTCACAAACTGCAAGATTTATATTTTTATTACAAAGACAGTGACAAATAAATAGAACAAAACAATGTAAAAATATAATGTTTAAGAGATCTGGGGGGGGTTCCATATCAACGGTTTGTTCTAATAGCAAAATGTTTGAAGTCAGATTGGTCCCTGGTTTGGTAGATTGATATGAGAAACAGTTCACAACATATCATAGCACCGTCGTGTGGTTGTCAGCACCGCTATCAGCTGCACTGACGTATAAATCAGACATTTCACATGAATGTAAGACAGACTTAAACGATGAAACAACTGAATTAGCTGTGGATCGGTTAGAAAAGGGCCACTGCTTAACAGTTTAATTTCATATAAATATAATATATTAATTTATACATTGTACACTAGAATGGTTCTATACCACATACACAACTCAAGTAAACACGTGAATAAAAGGCAGCTGACAATTTTCAAAATCAAAAGCTGTGGGAAAGTGGAAATTAAAGAGTTTTTCAAGCTGCTTTCACAGTTGGAAATACAAACCTTGAAAGCAAGATAGTTCTGTGGAGAAATCTGTGTTTTAGAAATTTACCTGTCGAAAATATGAAAACCGAGGTCACTCACTCCAAAAGTCATGAAGGCATTAAGATCTTCTCTTTTTACAATCTTAGGGAGCAAGTGACAAAATGTCAGTATTAACGTGTGTGAAGGGGGCGAGTGTGTGCAAACATTCAGTTGGTGACTCGCGATTCAAAACCCTGAATTTACTACAGATTGAGCCCTGCATTGATGTTAGAATTCAAATATCTACATAATTGTGCCAAATGAAATGAAAACACGGACGAGGACACATTAAGGATGTAGAAGTCTGAACTAGCGCACCAGGAGCAAGGTGAGTCCGGCGATGCCCAAGCTGGCGGCAGCAAACAGAGCCCTCTTCAACGTCAAGTCCTGGCCCACCTCTCTGGAACTGACGGAGAACTCACAGAACCCACCCTACAGGAAAAAAAACAATTATATTGAGAGCATGATACTATGTTTACTAAAAAGAGAACATATTCATATATATATTTTCCTCCAAATACTGTTGGTTTTAGAGAATAAAATCAAGTCTTAACTGCCGTGGTTTGGCTTTTGACCGGTGGAGGTAATTATATCAGCCCTGCATTTCCCAGTAAAATGTAAAAACTTTGAAACTCTGATGCTGCTGAATGTGCAACTGTTTCAACTTTCAACACGTTCATATGTAATTATCATACCAGTTTGCTGAATATACTGAAACTTTGGGTGAAGTTATTCAAATTGAGAGTCAGATGCTGTTCAAACCCTCCATCGTGTTTACAGACAGAAACCACACGTTTGTCCAGTGCACCTGCTCCCAGCTTGTTTTTCTGCTCCTACAATGAAAACTTTCAATACGGCCACTGCAAATTTCAACACACTGAAGATTTGACTGTCACTACAAAGTCCATCTGGCTGAGCTGGTTAGTGTCTGTTGAAACCAGCTGCCAGCTGGAGAAGGGAGGGGCGTGTGTATGACTGCGTGTGTGTGTGTGTGTGTGTGTGTGAGGCGGACAGGGCAAGCCCATTCAAAAAAGCAGACACTGAATGGTTGAGTGTTCATTTTGGCCCCCCCGAGTCCAACGATCCCTTTACTTTATTCCAGTAAATAAGCCACACTGATCTCTAATGCCTGAACAAGCCCACAGTCCAGTGCTGCCTGAGAACTCTGCTCTGGTCCAACAAAGCTGGTAATCTGAACCCCAGCACTGGATGATTGTGGCTCTGGATTTACACAGTGGAGGTCTGTCTTGTTGTGGCACACATTCCTGAGGGTCTGGTCTAAAGCTTTGCTTCAGCTCATATAGTCACAGAAGCCACATGAGGCTTCTGAAGCGTCAACTCGTAGGTATACGAATGAGGAAGGCTGCATATAGAACACACACACACACACACACACACACACACACACACA